CTGAGACCAGACGAAATCCAGGTCTCCTACTCCTCTGCCATCTTGCTCCGCCCCTCCATGCCACGAATTTTTTTGGTTTTTCACATAAGACCAGTGAGAATCATCCTCATTGCATCACACATCAGATACCTCTCTTAACAGAGATAATGACTGAAATAATTTAAGTGTATTTTTCATGTATATTTTTTAAGAGTCATGCCTGGGCTCACAACACCTCCCAATTTTTTAGAAAACATTTACCAACCCTATGCCTACATTTTCTCAAAGACCAGAGTAGACTTTTGTGCAAAAATAAATGCTTTTTTTAACTCTTGAAAAATTCATTTTATTTCTGCTTATTAGAAAATTACTGGTTGGCCTGGATATATTTTGTTTCAAAAGTATATGCCATGCAGTTATAAACATTATTTCATCTATTTGGCAGGAAAACATGAGATTTTTATATAACTTTCAATATCACAATTGAAAAATTTTGAAATTATTTTATAAATACGTAGACCCATATGGCATATGGTCCTTTTGGATATTTTTCTATATATTCTAATCACAGGTAGCAAGATGAAGCTTTTTTTTTTTTTTTTTTTTTTACAAACAGAAACATCACCAGTTAGCAAGATGAAGCTATTATTTTTTTTACAAACAGAAATAATGCCTGATATTTTCCAAAGTTGAGAATATATATATTGTCAAGTAAAAATGTACTTTATTTTGTCCAAATTTAAAAGAATCTTATTATCAGTTGTTCCAAAATCTTTACTATTAAAAAAAAAAAAACACACACAAATATAGGGTTGTTTTTTTTTTTTTCATAGACAGGAAGAAAAGAAACATACCATGCCCTCAATTTGATGTATCATGTTCATTTGAAAAAAATAATAGCTGGATTCTTCAGTAAAAAAATTAAATAGTATTCAAACCCAACTTATTTTATTAATTGTCTTAAATACTGTCTTACTATCTAGTAGAACATTTTTGAAATATAAAATATCACTGGGGACTTGTTGATGTTTCAACAGTGACAAATTCCTCATAATGGTATATTAATATTGTGATAAACAAAAGCTAATCGTATCCATTTCCTTTTTCTTTTTCTTTTTTTTTTTAAAGATTTTATTTATTTATTTGACAGAGAGAGACACAGCGAGAGAGGGAACACAAGCAGGGGGAGTGGGAGAGGGAGAAGCAGGCTTCCTGCCGAGCAGGGATCATGACCTGAGCTGAAGGCAGACGCTTAACGACTGAGCCACCCAGGTGCCCCTAATCATAGCCATTTCTACCAGTAAAAAATAAATGTTCTTACCTTTGGAGAAATAATAGAAAAATACTGCTGACCACTCCCCCGTTTATAAAGGTAGTAAATGTTGCCAGGTTTTTTTACTATATTACAAGCTATGTGGTGTAAGTCAGCGTCTCTGTGAGCATCTTCCAATACCTAAGAACCACAGAGATGTAACAAGTTAAGTATCGGATGTAACAGGCACTCACACTCAGTGATTAATCCAGTCAAAATCTGGAAATTACTCAATGCTTTGGAATTGCTCCCCCATAGCAATCAGTCACTACTAGGATCCAGATGATTCTGAAGAGACAAAAGACTGCTACTAAGCTGTAAAAATGCCTTTAAAAGAATTATATTTCAAAACGTCGAACACTACTGGCTGTGAATGGCTTTTAAATTTCTTTCCTATTTTTCTGTAGTAAGTACATTTTTTATAAATGAGAACCTATTTTCCCCCTCAAAATGCTTTACCTCACTGAAACTGTCTCCCAGTGAAAAGCTTATCTTATACGTAACCTCCTAAGCCTATTTTCTTTCACTCAACACTTCGATATTTCTAGAAGGTACTGAAGACAAATAAGTTAAATGCTTATAAGCAAGATCAGTCAATCCTGCGAATTAAATGAAGAAAATGAATGCCTGCGTAAAAGCTGTTACTTACCTTCCTGGCTTGTTCTTGTAAATGTTGGATTTGCTCAGCTATGACCATCAGTTTGTTGGTGGCATTTGCTCGGATGAATTCATCAGCCTAAAGGTGAGACAAAACCAAAGGGTGGGTGAAAAAAGGATAAGACTTCCACAATGTTATTTAGAGCCCAGCGTGAAGAGTTATCTCGACATCTTCGCTTATGCCTAAAATATTCTTCCTGTCCTTCCTCACCACTCCCCCATGAGCTCCCATTCCTCTCCCTCTTCTCCCACCCAGCCCAAACAGCACTGCTTATGAGAAGCCTCCCCTGACATGGCCCCACACCACAGAACTAGGTCCTCCTTCTTTTCTATGTCCCATAGCTTTCTACCCTTTTCACTCTATATTCTAGTCACACTGAATTTCTTCAGTCCTCCAACATGCCCTACTCTCACGTGCTACCAATATACTGAATACATCCTCTTCTTGATGTAACATGTTCTCCCCCTTACTCTTTGCCTGAGTAAACCCACTCATTCCTTAGGCCTCCATTTATTTTCTCATGTTTAAATATTTATGAAATCAGGAGTGGGTCTTACAATAAAAATCCAAAGACACTTGTGATATGGCTCTTATCACCCGTTATGTAGGAATCTAGCTATATACAGAAACTACCTATTAATCTGACCATTACCTTGGCTGAGTTATTTACTTCAAACCTAGTTATATTTTAACTTATATTTGTATTCCTAATTGTTACTTCAAATGTATTTTTAAAGACAGCACTAGGATGTAGACCTGAAACAAAGTTATAATGTACACAGAAGACTGCCTGTCATGTGCTAGGAAATGCAACTGAAGGCAATGGGAATTGCTTAAAATAAATAATTTTCACAGCCAGAGAGAATGGTGGTGTGACCAATTCAGGCACTGGGAAGGATTATCACTCAGGCATCAGAAATCTGTCAAAGACTTCCAGTTTACTTTCAAGAAAAGCTGATTAATGTCCGGTGGTATACAATTAAGTTAAGGAGAAGAAATTAGGAGGTTAAACTCGAACTAAGAAATATCAAAAGAATTTGCCAGTTAGTTAAGGGTGCTCAAGGTAAAAGTCAGGTATAAGGCAGTATCATGTAAAAACATAAATAACTGAGTAAACAGGGTCAATCATTTATCTGTTCCACAAATATAGACTGGGCAACCACTGTGTGTCAGACACCATGCCAGGCCCTGGGTGCACTGGCAAATCAGAGAAAGAGGTCCCTACTTCTGTCAAGATTACAGCCTAATACACTGGCCTTATGAATAATATGAATCAAGTAACATATGCAATTTTTAATTTTCTAGCAGTTGTGTTAAAAGTAAAAATAAGTAGGGGTGCCTAGGTGGCTCAGTTGTTAAGTATCTGCCTTCGGCCCAGGTCATGATCCCAGGGTCCTGGGATCGAGCCCCACATCGGGCTCCCTGCTCCGCAGGAAGCCTACTTCTCCCTCTCCCACTCCCCCTGCTTGTGTTCCTGCTCTGGCTATCTCTCTCTCTGTCAAATAAATAAGTAAAATCTTTAAAAAAAATAAATAAATAAAAATAAGTAAAATGAATTCTAATAATCTATTTTATTTAACCCAATATATCAAAAAACATCATTCCAACACGTAATCAGTATAAAACAATTTTAATGAGATATTTTATATTTCATATTGTTATTTTTTATACTCCCATACTATCAATTGGGACGCCAAATTTTGATTAGAAATCCTCAATCTGTATTTGGACTTCATAAAATTTACATTTGAAAGAGTCAGTTCACATACTCAGCTTGTTCCAAATATACTTAAAAGTGTCCAATAATTGACTCGATTATCAGGTTTTAAAATGTAAATTAGTTAAAATTACATAAAATTTAAAATTCAGTATCTCAGCTGCACTACTAACCATACATTCCAAGTGTTCAACAACCCTGTGTGACTAGAGGCTACCATAACGAACAGCACAGCTCTGGTGAGTAATACAGACACCAACAAGAAAGACAATTAGAGCTAGTATTATACGGACTCAGAATAATGATGCACTACTATGAAGGAAATAACAGTAATTATGTGGTAGAAGGAGATCAAAGGTAACAAGTGAGTGAAGTAACTGGTTCAAAAACAGGGAGTGATGAGGACTGCAGGGATTGGAATATATGTGTAGCTTAGAGGCAAATTCAATTTAATAATAGTGTCATTTATGTTTATTTTTTTTTAGAAGTTTGGACTTGATCTTTATTCTTTTTAAAAGATTTTATTTATTTATTTGACAGAGAGAATGAGATAGAGAGAGTGAGCATGAGAGGGGGGAGGGTCAGAGGGAGAAGCAGACTCCCCGCCGAGCAGGGAGCCCGATGCGGGACTCGATCCCGGGGCTCCAGGATCATGACCTGAGCCGAAGGCAGCTGCTTAACCAACTGAGCCACCCAGGTGCCCCAATACTGTCATTTAGATGGGGTGGGGTAGAGCCTTCTACAGACAAGGCCTCACCAAGGACGTGACATTTGACTTGGGTCTGAACAAAAGGAAAGGGCCAGCCAGGTACAAAACTGAAGATGTGTCTGAAGAGTAGTAAGTGAGGAGAATGTAAAAAAAGGTGGCAGGGATCAGATCACACAAGGCCTTATGGCCCATGGGTGAAAGCGCTACTTTTTGTTCCAAGGACAATAAGACACCTTATGGCCAAGGAGAGAGTAGCTGGTTTCTAGAGCTAAGATGGTTCTAGGTTAACAGTGGAGTGGCCTCATTATTAGTCTTTTTCTTAAGGTGGTAGCAGCAAATCTCTTCCTTGTAAACAAAAGGACCGAATTCAAACAGAAATGAGGAGAAAAGTACTTATAATTACTAAACACAAACTCTGGCCCCCATCACTCTGAAGCCCTTCACATATATATATTATCTCATTTAGTTTTATAACACCTTATGAAGTTGGAGATAATAACTTCAGCCTCATTTTAGGAATTATACTCTCAGAGAGGTGAAGCAACCTGTCCAAGGGTTCACAGCTAATAAATGGCAGTTGAAGATTTGAACACAGATCAGTCTGATTCCAAATTTCCTGCCTTAATACCAGACCTCTTGAGTTTTCTGAACACACACTAATACAGAAATGGCATATCAGCTAATCAGTCCTGCTAGAAAGTACATTTCAGGACACAGACAGTAAATATGCTTGATTCAATCTGTCTCTCGTGTTTTTATTTCAGCTGCTCAATATCGATAATATTGGAAAAATGGAGGCAGCACAATAATGCACCCTCTATATTTCACTAGATTATATGCTGAAGGGCAAAAACAGTGTTCCGTCTTTGTTTTGGGCTACTGTAATAAACATGATGGTCACTCAGTAACCCATGAAAATGTTTGCCTAAGCTTTGGGCCTGGTTGCCTCCCCCAGTAAGTGATCCAATCAAGCAGACACATGAAATTTTCCTAATCCATAAAAGTTATACTTTGCTCCCCACCTCTATAGATAAGTCACAAAGTTTGAATCAAAGGCACTTTCCTAAGCATTCGAATATGTCTAAATAAAATAAATAAATAAACCCAGGGGGTGCCTGGGTGGTGCAGTCAGTTAAGCGTCCAACTTGGTTTTAGCTGATCTCAGGGTCATGAGATCGAGCCCTATATTGGGCTCCAGGCTCAGCACGGAGTCTGCTTGAGATTCTCTCTCTCCTTCTCCCTCTGCCCCTCCTGCTTGTGCACATGTGCTCTCTCGCAAGCTCTCTTTGTCTAAAATAAATAAATCCTAAAAAACAAAAAACCCCTGAAGTACAGAGATGTATGTGTGAGGAAATTTGAGCATGTTAATAATTAAATATTTTTAAGCAAAATAAAGACCTTTGAATATAACCAAGGCCAAATGTGATAGTGCATACAAGGATGAAGGGATATCAGAAGCATTAAAGCATCAGGGCCCTATATCTCTACATACTGAAGAGGGTTCCACAACTGAAGTCTTGATAAAAATTAGATGGAATTTGTTTTTTCACAGCTTTGCTCTAGAAGCTCTCCTAGTTGAAATCCTGCATTTTACAGATAAACTGAAGTCAAGGGGCGCCTGAGTGGCTCAGTAGGTTAAGCGTGAGAGGCTTGATTTTGGCTCAGGTCATGATCTAGGGGTCCTGGGATTGAGCCCCACAATGTGCTCAGCGGGGAGTCTGCTTAAGATTCTGTCCCTCTTCCTCTGCTCCTCCCCCTCCGCATGCACTCTCCCTCTCTCTCAAATAATCTTTAAAAAGAAGGTGAAGTCCAGAGAAAAGTAATTTGCCTCAGGTCATATGCAAGTTAATATCAAAGGGGGTGGAGCCTGGGTGACTCAGTTGGTTAAGAGAAAGATTCTTGATCTCAGCTCAGGTCTTGATCTCACAGTGGTGAGTTCAAGCTGCGCTGGGCTCCATGCTGGAAGTGGAGCCTACTTAAAAAAAAAAAAAAATCAAAAGAGAGATTAACACGCATGTGTCCAAACTTCCAGTGCTTTTTCTGTTATTTCTCATTTCCTCCTTTTTTTACTTTTGGTAATGAATGTCTAAGTACTGGGCTTGGGAATGTTGTGTCCAGTGAATGACAGCACAGGACAAAACTTAAGAGTCCCCGTCCTTGTAGAAGATGTTAAGTTCTAAAAGCATTCAGGTTTCAGATAAAGATTTTAGGGGAAGCAGTTTAAAGTAAGTGGACTATGCATCCTTACATAATCTGCGATAGACTGATCGTGAAACTTCCACGGAAACTTCTCTTCACCTGTAAAATGGGAAGAAGAAACCCAAGCTGCCGCTTTAGTTCCCTTTGGGAAGGCTCCCGGGGAACACAAGGCCAAGTTTTGCTTAGTCCATGCCTTAACCCCAGGCTGGACCTTTGGGGTTACCATCTGCTTATGCGAACCGGGCGAAGCAGGTCTCCCGGCAGGGTCCCTGCTCTCCCTGGGTCCGAGGAGAGCTCCCCGGCCAGGAGGCTACGTTCCCTCTCCGCGGACACTTTCCCGGCCCCCCAAGTTCGCCCGGGTCATCTGCAACCACGCCCAGAAGGATCCCTGCCGCCCGGGCCCGGGCAGGTCTGCACCTCTCTTCTGTACTGCCTACCTCACAGGGCTGTCCTAGGGCCCAAACGAAATACTGAATATTGAAAGTGCTGTGCAAAACTTGCCGCCAAAGGAGATTATAGGCACTCATGTTGCAGCTGAAGGAGCCTTTCGTCTCAGAAGATCAGAGTTCGAGTCAAGGACAATCAGTTTTCCCGTGTTGTATGTAAGATGCAGACAAAACAAATGCCACAGTAAGTGGTTGTGAGGTCCCAGTCCTAAGACGCAGGGCCAAACGTGAACGAAGACGGTTATTTACTTCCCCAGCCGCACCTCCTCACCTTCTGCACCTGCTCTGCGAGCGCCACGAGGTCTAAGGGGTCCCCGGCCCGGTGGGTGTGGTAGGGGCTCACCAGGGCCAGGCCGCCGGGGGTCGAGGTGCGCTCCACCAGGGCTCCTGCGACACAAACCCAGGAACACAGCCCGTGAGCGCCCGCCCTCGGCCTCCCGCGCAGCCCGGGAGACTAGCTGCTCCGTGAGGGCTTCTTTCCCCGGCCGGACTCCCGCCCTGCGTACCTCCCCGACCGGTCGCCGGCTGAATTCTTTGGTTTTCGGGGACCTCCTCCGCCTGCCCCAGCTTTGCAGCGTCCTCCATGACAACACCTGAAACCTCCCTACTACCCTCGCGTCAGGTGGCGGAAGAGCCTGCGCATAAAGGCCCGTGGGCGGAGCTTCCGTGTTCCCCGGGCATTGGACATCACCGCTGAGGAGCGCTGCCTGAGCCCGGGAGCGGGGCCCCGGCTGTCGCTCAGGGCTCGGCTGAGGGGCGGGGTCCAGGCTTGTGGAAAGCCAAAAAGGTGGTGCAAGCTTCCCGGGCATGCGCTGCCTAGCTTGGGAGGCGGGGCTCCACTCAGGGGCGGGACGGGAAGGGGTGGGCGGGACTCCTCGGGGGTGGGACTCCAGCCTCCGTGGCGGGTGGCTGGCGGTCCCGTCAGGTCGGAGGAGGCAATGGCTGCACGCGCTTTGAGGCTGCTGACCACACTGCTGGCCGTCGCCGCCGCTGCCTCCCAGGCCGAGGTCGAGTCCGAGGCGGGATGGGACATGGCGGCGCCTGATCTGCTCTTCGCAGAGGGGACCGCTGCCTACGCGCGCAGGGACTGGGCGGGGGTTGTACTGAGCATGGAGCGGGCGCTGCGCTCGCGGGCCGCCCTGCGCGCCCTCCGCCTGCGCTGCCGCACCCGCTGTGCCGCCGACCTCCCGTGGGAGCTGGGCCCCGACTCGTCCCCGAGCCTGGCACAGGCCTCGGGCGCCACCGCCCTGCACGACCTGCGCTTCTTTGGGGGCCTGCTGCGCCGCGCCGCCTGCCTGCGCCGCTGCCTCGGGCCGCCGGCCTCCCACTCGCTCAGCGAGGAGCTGGAGTTGGAGTTCCGCAAGCGGAGCCCCTACAACTACCTGCAAGTCGCCTACTTCAAGGTGCAGACCTGCCCGGGCCCGGGCGGCAGGGATCCTTCTGGGCGTGGTTGCAGCTGACCCGGGCGAACTTGGGGGGCCGGGAAAGTGTCCGCGGAGAGGGAACGTAGCCTCCTGGCCGGGGAGCTCTCCTCGGACCCAGGGAGAGCAGGGACCCTGCCGGGAGACCTGCTTCGCCCGGTTCGCATAAGCAGATGGTAACCCCAAAGGTCCAGCCTGGGGTTAAGGCATGGACTAAGCAAAACTTGGCCTTGTGTTCCCCGGGAGCCTTCCCAAAGGGAACTAAAGCGGCAGCTTGGGTTTCTCTTCCAGATTTCATTGTAAGTTCCCGAGTGAGAAGCTAGGACCTTTCTACAATATCTTTCTTCCGGTTCGCTGTTCAGTGATGCTTTTCCTGCTGCCCGAGTCCAGCAGCTCTCTTTCAGGACGTGAGGTTGCCACGTCGCCAGTAGGGGCTGTCTAACCCCTCCCTGTAGCGGGACCCTCTGGCTATTGTCAGGTTTTCAAAGAAAATGAGTATTTTTAGGAATTCCAGAGTGGCGTAAGTCCAAGTGCATACATGGATTTGGAGTGCCCCTGACTTGCATGATGATGATGATGATGATGATGATGATGATGATGATAGCCAGCACATACTTCTAGGCACTATTTTAAGTACTTTGTGTTTATTGGTTTATTTGCCCAGATCCTGTCAATGTCCTGTAAGGTAAGTGCTATTATTAGGCCCATTTTATTGGGGGAAAAGAAAGAAGGAGCTGTGTTGCATATTGTCACATCCATAGTTTAACAGACCTTCGGTTCCACCTAAAGAGAGACTTAGGGAACCGTGGGGACCACGGACTTCCACCTCTCCACAAGCATTTTGCTTACACAGTTTGCTTACATTCCTCCTTGTTACTTGGAAAAGTACCGTATTTGAAACCAAAATAAGTGGGTCATGTCTTTGGTCATGTCACTTAACAGCACACTCTCAGATTCTTTGACTAACGTTTCCTGAATACCTGCTACATTCCAGTTCTTGTACAGGTCATTAAAATACTTGACTTTATATTGTTTTGTATTACATCACTTCCTTAGTGAGAATCACTACAGAAAAGGGTACTAAAAGGGTGTGTACATAGGGCGGTGGGAGCACAAAGGAGGGAGGATCTAGCTTCCTCTCAGAGAAACAAGGGAGACTGAAAGAAGAGATGACAATTGAAGTGGGTCCTAAATATCACTAGAGGAGAGAAAGGATGGCCATTCCAGATAGAGCGAGGCCAGACTGGGAAGAGAGTTCTGCAGGCTTCAGGAGCCAGTGTCAGAATCAGGTTTTAGAATGCTAATTCTGGAATGTGGAATAAGCCTTGGGAGAAGGAGAAAGTGGTGGCAGGGCTAACCATTAGGAGATGAGTTGGTGGGACGCCTGGGTGGCTCAGTTGGTTAAGCAGCTGCCTTCGGCTCAGGTCGTGATCCCCAGGTCCTGGGATCGAGTTCCATAGCGGGCTCTCCGCTCAGCGGGGAGCCTGCTTCTTCTGCCTGCCGCTCCCCCTGCTTGAGCTCGCTCTCTCTCTGACAAATAAATGAATAAAATCTTAAAAAAAAAAGAGATGAGTTGGTTGTCCACTTGAGAGAAGGAAATTAGGTGCCTAGGTGCTTAGGGAGTAAAGAAGGACTGGGGTGGAGAGAGAAGGTGGCAGGGCAGGAGAATAAATCCATGAAGGGAACAGACTTGTGAGAATTTCTAATTGTACAGTTAACAAAACAGGTGCAGAGGATTATTGACTTTGGGTCACCTAGCTATTTTAGGGTTAGAGCCAGGGCTGACTTCTTGTTTAGCATGCATTTACTAGTACTGATGAAAAAAGGAAAAGGAAAAAATTCTTAGCGTGTTAATAATACCAGCTAACATTTATTAAGCACTTAGTATGTGCCCAGCACCAGGTGTTAGAAGCTGCATGTATACCAGCTTGTTTTAACATTACCAACAAGACTGTGAAACAGTGAGGGCTATCTCCAGGTGGCAGATTAGGGAACTCAAATAGAGAGTAAACTTTAAGTGTCTGAAGCCCCAGCAAGTGACTAATTAAACCTAGCTTTGTCGCAGGTCTGTCTGTCACCTAAGCCGTGTTAATCATTAGATCATCAGTGATTTATCTTGGCTTCTACATAAGAACCTGTGTGACGTTGATATGCTTGAGTCCATTGCTTTGGGCATTATTGTGGCATTTGGCACATTTTTTACTTCTCAGATTTCATAACCACTTGTTTTAACCTCATGAGCCCTGGGCTTTGAGTCAGAAGACGCCATATCCAGATTTTGTATAAGACCTTAGGATTTTTCCGTCACCCATCTTTTCCTTGAATGTGTCAAAAACACTTGATTATATTTTTTGAAAAAAAAAAAAAAAGTATCTTCTAGGGAAATCCTTAGGCACAGTGTAATCATTAACTGCTCTTTCTCCCCTACTAGTAAATTCTTGAAGCCTTAGACTTTTTTCAGCGCAGTTGCCACTTCTGAATCTTGAGAATATATTACTTGGGCAGTCAGTCTTCCATAGCATTCCTCCCAACAATATGACCTTTGTTTAAAAATAGAATGTTTACACTGTTGAAGGTTTACCTCCTATGATTTGGGGAATTGCAAAGCCTGATTTGGGAAATGGCTGAAATTCTGCCCAGGGCCCTGTGCTCCTGATTTCTGGTATGTAGTTCCTGCAATAGGTGTGTTTTCTGGGGCTGGCGAAGTCTGGCGCAAACTGTGGAGTGGAAGGCTCAGGAAGGCTGGGATTTCCTGTTTACTGTGGACTGCCCATTTGGACACAAACCTTCAGGGTTTGGAGGTGAGGATTATGTTCTTGTGCCTTATTCTTAGATCAACAAGTTGGAGAAAGCTGTAGCAGCAGCACACACCTTCTTCGTGGGCAATCCTGAACACGTGGAGATGCGGCAGAACCTAGACTATTACCAAACCATGTCTGGAGTGAAGGAAGCCGACTTCAAGGATCTTGAGGCCAAACCCCATATGGTGAAAAAAACTTTGTCCCCCCTATTCTCTCTTTTTATTAAAGTGATATTTACTAGGCTTGTTTTCTGATTACAGAAGTAGTAGACATTCATTGTACAACACTATAGAAAAATGCAGATAAGTATAAAACAGAAAGTGATCATCTATAATACTGCCACCTTAAGGAAACCAGTAGTTCATATTTTGGCCTAGTTTTTTTTTAAAGATTTTATTTATTTATTTGTCAGAGAGAGAGGTAGACAGAGGGAGAAGCAGGCTCCCCGCTGAGTAAGGAACCCAATGCGGGACTTGATCCCAGGACCCCGGGATCATGACCTGAGCCGAAGGCAGATGCTTAACCGACTGAGCCACCCAGGTGTCCCTATTTTGGCCTATTTTTAAAACTCTTCTAGATCTTAATTTTTTTCCCCTAACTTGGTGTCATACTGTGTATATATTTTTCATCATCCTTTTTGAACTAACACTGTATCATGAGCCTTCTCTCATGTCTTGATTTTCTTTGAAAATACAATTTTTAGTGGCTGCATGACAGTCCATTTTATGCATAATTGTATTAATGTATTGTGTAGGTTTTTGCTTTCACTACTGTAAGTGGTACAGTGTTCCTCGATGTTCTTATTCTTTTTTTTTTTTTAGATTTTTATTTATTTGACAGAGAGAGACATAGTGAGAGAGGGATCACAAGCAGGGGGGAGTGGGAGAGGGAGAAGCAGGCTTCCTGCTGAGCAGAGAGCCCAATGCAGGGCTCGATCCCAGGACCCTGGGACCACGACCCAAGCCGAAGGCAGACGCCTAACAACTGAGCCACCCAGGCGCCCCATCAATGTTCTTTTTTTTTTTTTTTTAAAGATTTTATTTATTTATTTGAGAGAGAGAGAATGAGAGAGAGAGAACACCTGAGAGGGGATAGGGTCAGAGGACGAAGCAGACTCCCTGCCGAGCAGGAAGCCCGATGCGGGACTCGATCCAGGGACTCCAGGATCATGACCTGAGCCGAAGGCAGTCGCTTAACCAACTGAGCCACCCAGGCGCCCAGCCCATCGATGTTCTTATTCTGTTTGTTTAGGAGAAGTCTGTGTCCCATGAGAGATACTGTCTGTGATGATACAGCATTTTATAAAGAGCTTATGTTCTCGTAAGTTTTCATAGTTTAGAAATAGAGATATTAGAAACAATATCAAAATGACTTTTAAAAGTGAATTGTGTAAGGACGCCTGGGTGGTTCAGTCCATTAAGCGCCAGACTCTTGATCTCAGCTCAGGTCTTGATCTCAGGGTCCTGAGTTCAGGCCTCTGTTGGGCTCCATGATGGAGGTGACAACTGCTTAAAAAAAAAAACTGTAGATTGTGTACATCTAGTACATTACACAATCACACAGGTTTGGTGGGGTTTTTTTGTTTGTTTGTTTTTTAGTGATTCTATGACAAACGGAAATGGTTATTCACAAGAATGGATGCTGTGTCCCACAGATGGCAAAACCCATTCTGTAATCAGCGGCAGCCCTAACTAATATGCTGGAAGGATTGCTCCCATCAGCACAGACCTAATTCTAGCATCTAAGAGTTCTTTTTAATTAAACTTTTATTTTGAACGCTATTATCCCTACAGAAGTGCAAGAAAATTATAATGAACTCCCTTGTATCTTTTATCTAGATGGAGTTTAATGCTTTTGGGTTTCCAAAGAAACCTGTGGAGACCATTTACAGGAGGCTTTCACTAGGTAGCGGGCACCCTTTTCCGTCCCTAACCTAAGACAGGCCGTGAGGACGCAGGTGCAGGTGGCGGGGGGAACGAGGGCCCAGGGCTGTGTGCGGCCCGCAGTTGAGTCCCCCTTCCTCCCAGTAGCACGAGTTCCGGCTGGGAGTGCGGCTCTACTCGGAGGAGCAGCCGCACGAAGCCGTGGCCCACCTGGAGGCGGCGCTGCGAGAGTACCTGGTGGCGGACGCGGAGTGCCGCGCCCTGTGCGAGGGGCCCTACGACTATGACGGCTACAACTACCTGGAGTACAACGCCGACCTCTTCCAGGCCATCGCAGGTGCGCGGCCGCGACCCTCCCGCACGCGCGCCCGCCCCCGCCCCCGCGCGCCCCTGCCCACACCGAGGCCCTCGCCAGCTGCCCAGGGCTCCCGGGGCCACGTGCGGACAGTCCCCACTGCTCGCCGTCTTCCGCCTCAGACCTAAATGTAGTACATCTCGGAATCGGACTGAAAATTCCTTGCACTTGAATTTGTTCCTCTTCCCAGAATTCGCATCCTGAAGATCCACCTGATGGTTATTCCCCGTCTTTGATTCCTTTCAGATCATTACATCCAGGTCCTCAGCTGTAAGCAGAACTGCGTCACGGAGCTGGCTTCCCACCCAAGTCGAGAGAAGCCCTTTGAAGACTTCCTTCCATCACATTATAATTATCTGCAGTTCGCCTACTATAACAGTAAGGCCTACTTTCTTCCTTCTCTGCCGCTTTTCAGCAGGAAGCCAAAAGCAAGGGAGGCAGGGATGATGGCCACTCTGCACGTCGGCATCTTTGGCTTCTCACTGTGACCTGGGACTCCGGGAGGCACCGTGCCGGGTGACCCCTGCCTGCTTTGTGACAAGCCACTGGCCCCAGAAGCCAATGCTAGTAACCCAAAAAGCTGGGAGACGGAGACCTAGGACCTCTGTCCTCGTCCCTTCTAGAACACTGATAATCTGACTCTGAATCCGAGTTCAGTTAGAGCAAAGGCAAGGGTGTACTACCATTTAAACCAGCTCACGGGACATTTTCCAGCCCTTCGTCGCACAATAGTGCGGATGCTCTGGGTGGTGCGGGGTGGGGGGCTGCCAGTATCCAAACCAGCAACAAGTCAGCAGGTCCTCATCGAGTTCCTACTGTGTGCTAAGCATCACCGCATATTCGAGAGTGTGAGGTGTTTATCGTTGCGCTGAGACCAACACATGCAAACAAGCACTGCTCCTCCGTGGAAGAGGCCACCTGCTGTTGTAGTGTCCCCATCTTCTGAAAATCTGCAGGGAAAAGAAGATAGGAAGATGGGACTCTTCCTAAAATTGGTCTAATATGAGGCCAGTGTTTAACTGACTTGTGAAATTATAAAGATGTGGGCGTTCAGGTGCCTGGGTGGCTCAGTCGTTAAGCGTCTGCCTTCGGCTCAGGTCATGGTCCCAGGGTCCTGGGATCGAGTCCCACGTCGGGCTCCCTGCTCCGCGGGAAGCCTGCTTCTCCCTCTCCC